TAATCAAAACAGCCTGGTATTGGTACAAGAACAGGCACATAGACCAATGGAATAGGATAGAGATTCTGGAAGCAAAGTCTCAATTCTTCAACCAACTCATTTTTGACAAAGCCTCCTATAACAACCACTGGAGAGGAGAACCTATTCAATAAATGGTGCTGGGAAAACTGACTGAACACATGCAGATTGAAACAGGACCCCTACCTATCACCATACACAAAAAGTAACTCTAAAGGGATCAAAGACCTAAATGTAAAACCTCAAACTGCAATAACCTTAGAAAATACAGGAAACACTCTTATGGAAGTTGGAACTGGCAACTGATTCCTGATCAAAACCCGAAGTGCCAAGGCCATAAGAAATAAGATAGACAATTGCCATTAAACGGGCAAGCTTCTGCAAAGTCAAAGAAACCATCAAGAGAGCAGGGAGACAGCCCACAGAATGAGAAAAAAAAATATTTGCCAACTGTATATCTGAAAAAATCCTAACATCTAGGATCTACAAGGAACTCAAACATGCTAAAAGGAAAAAAACAAACAGCCCCTTTAAAAAGTGGGCAAAAGACATGAATAGACATTTCCCCAAAGAAGATATACAGGCAGCCAACAGACACATGAAAAAGTGCTCAGACTCTCTCATCATTAGAGAAATGCAAATCAAATCCACATTGAGATACCACCTAACTCCTGTAAGAATGGTCATCGTTAATAAAAAAAAAACCAGATGCTGGCAAGTTTGCGGAGAAAAAGGAACACTTCTACACTGCTGGTGGGAATGCAGACTAGTACAACCTCTTTGGAAGACAGTGTGGCGATTTCTGAAGGAACTAGATATTGACCTTCCATATGACCCAGCAATTCCCCTATTGGGAATATACCCGGAGGAACTCAAATCATTCTACAAAAAAGGTACCTGCACACGTATGTTTGCAGCAGCTCTATTCACAATAGCAAAAACATGGAACCAACCATGTTGCCCATCGAAGCTGGACTTGATATAGAAAATGTGGTACATATTATGTGGTACAATTATGTGGTACATATTATGCAGCCATAAAGAAGGACAAATATATGGACTTTGCAGCAAATTGGATGGATTTGGAATCGATCATACTCAGTGATTTATCACAGAAACAAAGAACTGAGTTCCATATGTTCTCACTCATAAGGTGAACTTGAACAATTATAATGCTATAAGAAAGCGATTGGCAGTAGCGGAAAACTGTCAGGGGAAGGGGGAGTGGGACTGGCAGTTGGTGGAAACTGCTAGGGGAGGGAGGGGCATACCTCGTCAACAAGGGTGCCTGCATAATCAATGTTTATATACAAAACACTGAATTGTACCCCACATCTTTATAATAAATAAATAAACTAAAAAATATATAAATAAAAAATAAGTAAATTAAATAAATAAAAAGAAACATAAAGAATAAAAAAAATCCACTCTTAAATTTATAATATCTAAAGGATTAAAATAAATTTTGGCAATTTAAAATTATTGTCTGATAAACTAGAGGTTGATTATCAATTGAATAAGTCTAGTGAGAGTAAAGAAGTATAAATAAAATAAAAGTATAAAGGAAGTTTAGAAAAAATTATCTTTATTTGTTGAAAAACTAACATAAGAAATAGGAGCCTGGCATGGTGGTTCATGCCTGTAATCCCAACACTTTAGGAGGCAGAGACAAGAGGACTGTTTAGATTCAGAGGTTTGAGACCAGCCTGGGCAACTTAGTGAGACCTTGTCTCTACAATAAATCCAAAAGTTAGCTGGGCATGGTGGTGCACGCATGTGGTTTCAGGTACTTGGGAGCCTAAGGCAGAAGGATCGCCTGAGCCCAGCAGGTCAAGGCTGTGATAGCCTTGAGAGTGCCACTGCACTACCCCACTGGGTGACAGAGTGAGACTCTGGGACTCAAACGAAGAGAGAGAGATAAGGAGAGAGAGAAAGAGAGAGAGAGAGAGAGAGAGAGAGAGAAAATTTGCTGTTATTGCGTAAATCACCTGGAGGATGAGGATGTTGATACCTTTTCTCAGCAGCAAGAAAAAACCCTGCCCTGGAGAGTAAAGAAAGAATTAACAAAGTATTCGGCCTGGTATTAATGAGCCTTTGTCTGTAAGGAATAAAAGCGAAACAAACCAAACTAAGAGCAAATCCTCATCTTGGAAATGCCTCATGGCACTTTACATGTTGGCAGATGAAAAGTTTGACCATTTTTCTTTCTCTTGGTCCTATCCTTGGGGTTGTATAATTGAACCTGTAGCCACTTGGGTTCCATGCTATTTCTTGTCATGAGGCAGGTTGAATGCCACATGTACTAGTAAGAGCACGGCATATTCTTTTTTAAAATACTTAAGATCACTATATTTCTTTTAGAATTAATGTAAAAATAAACATTCTTAACATACTAAAGCCTAGAATCCCTTCACTTTAACCTGTGCCACAAAATTTCAATTCAGTTTCCTCACAAAACTCATTTGGCTGGTATTTATACCAAATTGGCCAGACCAGGATTATGCAGCCCTGTGCAAGACCCACACAAGGCCCATATAAGACTCAGAAGCACTACTGACTGAGTATTCTAGGTGAACAGCCTTCAGAGTTCTGCAGACCATACCTTCTTTACATGACGAGGGGCATGATGTCCAGTCACTGTATGGGGACATGATACAGTCCTTCTTACAAGGAAGCAGACAAGGCCTTACTGTTTCAGGCCGAAGGCTTTCAGGACACCTACAAAAGCAAAGGGAAATTATTAAGCCTCTATAGCAAGCTAGAAAATCAGATAATTTAATTTATTTAGAATTTTCATTGCTCAAATGACAAAACAGTCTGTATTATTTAACTTTTGGAAGCCTCCTCTGCTTTTGACAAGAACTATACAACTAAATGAATTCTTCCAAAGTGGACTTCAATAAGGTTTCTCAAGGAGGAATGTGCAGATTTACTAATAGCAATTATGCTCTCTGGAACAAAACATAAAAATTATACTTTACTCCCTCCTAATAATCTATTAGTCAATATTCATTTTCTAATATGCTTTATAAGAAATTTTATGAAACTGTGAATTACTAATTTAAGGATATAATTCTGTATATTTGTATAACTAAATAGATTTTTTTGCCTGTGATAATTTTCCAGGTTATTCTACACTTTATTTTTACAAAATACATAGGTATAAAATAAATTTATAATGAGGGATGTTCTTTAAACAATACATGCTCAAAACACAATATTATGTTAATTATATGTTCAACAATAAATAAGATAATCAAGGTGTATAAATCATTGTGATGAGCAGTTTTTGCTTTATTCTTGGTTTCATCTATTGTATCTCTTTGAATTGTTTTTCCATTTTGCCTCCAGTTTTAAATTATGGGTTCTAAACTACTTTTTATATTTTTGTAAGCTAAAATATGTTTTTAGGAGCAAAAAAGTGAACAAAAGTAAAATGAAAATAGTCAATCAGTAATTTAGAGAAAAATAAAATTCTGTGTGCTTGACATAAATGATAGTAAAATTATATTATTGTTTTAAACAAGACTGCAAAAAATATGTTATTTATTGGAAATACAAAGAAAGATAAGAATGACAAAACACTGAAATGTCTCATTTTATAAAAAATTTTTCACTTTCTAGGAGATAATAGCTAATGTATAGGTTTTAAATATATTATTTTGTTTAAAATATACTTATATGATTTTTACATTTTTCAATTATTCTCTGCATTTTCACAATCTGATTCTATTATTGGTCATATGTTGGTCATAAGCATCAACACTACGAAAAGATGTATATTAGAAAAATAAAATATAATAGCATAATTCATATAATTAAAGGTAAATTATTCTGATTCTAAACAATTCTCTTTTGTGGTCATATAAATTCCTGACAAGTAAGCTAACAGAAAGTGAGAAATAATACAAACAACTGGTACAACTCTTGTTGGAATAAGTTCGTAAACCAGTGGAAAATAGAATTTTTAAAATACTCCATGTGGGAGAAACTAAAATTTTTGTTCAAGATAAATTGTCTTTTATCAAGTGGGTTAATCAGGTTTTCAGAACTGAACTATTGGTGAAAAAAAATTAAATCATTAATTTCTTTCTGCCTAATTTTTTTTCTTTTCTTTTGAGTCAGGGTCATACTCTCACCCAGTTTGGAGTGCAGTAACATGTATCACAGCTCACCACAGCCTCAACCTCCTGGGTTCAGACAATCCTTCTGCCTCAGCCTCCCAAGTAACTGGGACTATAGGTGTGTGCCACCATGCCTAGCTAATTTTCTAGGTTTATCTATTTCCCCTAATTACATTACAGCATTTTGCTGACATTTCATTTTTGATGTTTCTTATATCACAATTATTTATCTACAGATCCTTTCTCATACATAAATATTATGCTTTATTCAATTATATAGATATATATTTTCTCTCACTTTTCAATACTAGAGTTTATTTGGAATGAGTTAAAAAATATATAGGTCTCAACATTTCAAAAATAAACATTATCCATGATTTAACTTGAAGATAAGATTTTCTTAATTGCTATGAATCTTCAAAGTCATAGACAACAATGAAATTTAGATGTGAATCACAGAAATTAACGCATTGTCACAATTTAGACCATAAATCACTAGCATTGCAATTTACCCTGCATTCTTAACCAGGAAACATTAGCGGCAAAACCCACATATAATCCAGTTAATTCTTTTGGAACTATGAAATTATTGGTTAGTAATTATTATTGGCAGTACTCCTTTTCAATCAGGCAATTTTATAACTTTAATAATGGAAGAGTATCACTCAATTGCATGCTCTTCAAATATTAGCCCTGAATAAATCAATGGAACTTACAATGTTATTATTGACAACCTCCAAGTATTCTGTTTTAGTTTAGAAATAGCCCCAGCAAGATACTTGGCTAACTGTGGAGAACAAAATTACTAACAACAAAGTCCTTCAATGAACACACAAAGATAAATTATGCAGCCCAGATTACATCCAATAAAATGAATTCAGACTTCCTTTGGCAAAGCAATCGGTTCAGTCAACATGCTTCTTTTCTCCTTTGTACTGTTTATATTTAATGTTTGTGGTTTAAATCAAGGAATTGATTTCCCCCCAAATCTTATTCAAGGTCAAATTAAACAGATGTGATAGAAGTTGAAGGTCGTTACTAGAAGGATAAATAAGATCAATAACATTGATTTTACTATTGTACACTAATCTGTTTTATTAAGAGGAATTTAAAATAAGTTTTCTATTTGCATTTTTGTTTCAAATTCCTAGTACTGAAAAGCATCCACTGAATTTAACCTAGCATTTAGGGAGAAGGGCAATAACATTTTCTTTTGAAATCACAGTATCTGCTTAATTTTCCAGAATTTTAAGGGCAAAGTAAATCCGTTTGACTTAACAAGTCTATAGATGTATCCAGGTCATTGAATAAAGGCTGCAAAGGCAAAGCAAAATTTTAATGAGTTTTCATGGTGGTCTGATGTGGGCTTCAGGATATGCTTCCTACTGAATGACTTAATGACATTAACCCAGCAGGCTCTTGCACACGTAGGCTTGTACATATATGTACTTCCATGACTCAGCAAAAATATGTGGTAGTTTGTGTGAGTGAGGAAAATGTCAACAGCGACATTTGAAAGGTGATTAACTGTAGGACAGGAACAGAGTGAGCTCCCTTCTAGAAGTTCAGCACAGTAACCCTCCTCCAGTGATACCACAGGTTGGTTCTGTGCCTCTGTAGTATATCTCTGCCTTTGTTCTTGATCCAGCAAGATCCAGAGTCCTCCAAGACTTGGGACTTCTGTTCCCACTGTCACTACCAATGAATCTTAATTGCAGGTTCACAGCATGCTAACTTCCTGAATTAGATTCATCACAACCTCAGCATAATTTTGATTAAAATATTAGTTTGGGGTTACCTATTAAGCATATGAAACAGTCTCTCAATTTATTCATATATCTCTTTTGGCATATGTTCTTTGACATGTTTTCTTTCTTTTTTCTTTAAGAAAGTAAGTTTATTATTCACCTTTCACAGATTAGAAAGGGGGCCTACACTCATAGGTCAGATTAGAAAATACAGTTTATTTACAGAGTGAATGAGAGAGAGAGAGAGAGAAAGAGACAGAGACAGGATTTACCTCCCCAAGGCAGGGAAAGGGGCCAAAGCCAGAAAACATAGCCTGATCATAGCTCAAAGAGCACATGGCACACCACAGCCTAGCAAGGCAATGGCCGTTCTCTGATATGTTTTCTAATTTCAAGTGACACAAGCAAATCAAGCATGGAGCAAAATGTTCCTATATCTGGAAACCTGGCCAGGTAAAAACAACTCATAACGCGTTTCCTATTTATTCCCCTGAGTTTTCCATATGTCAAATAGGTTGTTTTCATTTCCCTGGAACACTGAGAAGTCTAAAGAGAAAACAATAATTTCTAACATTTCTTGAGTGCTTAGATGACTATTATTTTTTTTCACCAAATCCTTTCAACCGACTTTGAAAACCAAGGCCAGAGAGAGGTAGGTAGCATGTTTAAGATCACACACAATATTTAATATTTCCAATATTTAGAATAGGTTACTTACTGTGACACCTACATGCAATCAACTAGTTTTACTTTTCACATATCACAGGGCTAAGGTGATTTGAATTTAAAAACATTTATGCTATCTAAATTTCAAAAGATACAGAGAATTTTCCCCCTTAAAATAGTAGTTTGTGAGTTGATTTATTAATTTTCTCTAAGAATTGATTAGCCTAGTTATGCTATTACTTTTTTTTCTTTGTTTTCTGCTTCTCACAAAGCGCATATAGTATACTTACTCTCTGATTCTGTGTCCTCCCCTCCAGCAAACTGTTTGCCTTGTTATTACAGTACTCATCACCACCCTGAGAACCCGATAGTTTTTCTCCTTATCATAATACTCATCCTATCCCAAGGCTCTCTCTTAGAAGTTAATGGCTTACTCATTTAACCATTGAAAGATATAATAAGTTTGGTCTCCGAGTTTTTGATATAGTATTTTCTAGGGGGAATGAAAAGCGGATCACAGAAGGCTTCTACCCAATTAAACGAGGTTGGCAGCCTCCACAGCCTACGGGTATATAGCAGGTCATGGATGACCTACACAGCTAGGACTTCGTACACTGTCATTATTGATCAGCCCGGCCTAGAGTAAGCACTTCTTTCATTGCCTCGCTAGCTTAATAAAAGCAGAAAGTGCTACAATAAAACAGAAAGTAGGTACCAGATACAAAGATTTCTACAGAATTTATGGTTCCCAGGTACAAGACTCTAAAGTTGTTACAGCTTTATCAGCCGCTGACATTCAAAACAAACAAATCTCACTCTTGAGGACAGGCATGACAAACATCAAAATGCTCCATTTCATGAAGCAGGTGAAACCTGAACCGATACTCTGCATGGTTGACTACAGGATTTACTGTGGTCATTCTAAAGTCCTTACTTTTTGGGTCCCACTTGGCCCACGTTAACTCGCACACAGATGACTTTTCTCGTCTGCATGCCGACGGAGCAGGAGGTTTCTCCATTCCAAGTTGTAGTTGTGTTGAAGGATGATACTGAGGTGTCCTCAATGCACTGGCCCCAGGGACCAGTTTGCCAGTGGTATACAGTACAGGGATGCTCATTACAGCTGCGTACCTCCTGCAAAGCACTGCTATTTGGACAGCGAATTCCACCTATAAAAATGGACAATGGCAGTGGATTAGATATAGGGCCAACAGGAACCTTGCCACTCTCTGTTTTTTGGAATTAACATGGCTAAAAGCAACAATGATAGCTGCTACTTGTCTAGCACATAGCCTGTGACCAGCACACTGCCAGGAAAGCAAATTTCATGTTAATCTTACCTCATTTGGCATGGGCTGGCTTAAAAATACAAACTCTATGGTTACATGATATTTGCTTGAGGGGACTATGGGAGATCTTAAATAGAGAGGCCATTGTTCTCCAGAAAAGTTGAAAATGAGATACAAACAAAGCCCATGTGATTGAGACTCTGGATGGAGAAAAACCAAGTCTATTTTCAAATGTTATCCCCCAGATTGAAAGTCATAATTACAGATTTTTAAATATCGCTTATTTTAATGCATTAGGTTATAGGGTGATTAGAAACATGGATATTAACATTGAATGATACTTTATGATCCTCCAGAGCATTACAGGAAAAGCCACTGAAAAGTAATATCGTATTTCTTCCGATTTAAGTTGTATTGACTGTGCAGTGTACCATCATTTCATGTGTCCCAAAGAAAAATAAATGGCTACAATCTAAACTATGATGTAATGTGTTCTGATCAACTCTATTTTTTATTGTATGCTTATTGCTTTTTAATGACTCAATTACGTAGTTTTTTATATCACTTTTAGCACACATTAAAGGAAAAGGTATTCCTAAAACTTCTTTATATTCAGAGTCCAACTCTTTCAAGTCTCTCTCTCTTTTTTTTTTTTTTTTGAGTTGGAGTCTCATTCTGTCACCCAGACTGGAGTGCAGAGGCCGCTCCCAGCCACCGCAGCCTCGACCTGCTGGGCTCCGGCGATCCTTCCGCCTCAGCCTTCTGAGTAGCTGGAACTCCAGGCGTGCGCTACCATGCCCGGCTGATTTTTGATTTATTGTAGAGATGAGGTCTCGCTGCCCAGACGGGTCTCAAACCCGCAGGCTCAGGCAAACCACTCACCTCAGCCTCCCAAAGGCGCGGGATTACAGGCTGAGCCACCGAGCCCGGCTTCAAGTCTCTTTTTAACTCACACGCATTGAAGTCTCCCCTTTTGCCTCCAGAATATTCTTCTAGAATACGGAGACTCATCTCTAAATTTTAATGATATACCATTTTAAATGGTTCCAGAAGATGGCGATGAAAGTTTTAAGCAAGCAACTAGGATTTATTTTTCTTCCTCAAATGGTTTTTAGATGTTTTTGGCAGAAGCATCATGGGATTGTTATTTCCACCAGGAATAACAAGGTTTATATGCATAGGCAATGACAATTGTCATAACTGTTGCTTGGCCACAGTGATTTTAAATGCATTCAACATAAGATGCAATAATTCCAGAGATGTTAAAGGGCAAGACGGATGCATCATGTAATCAACAGAATATGGTGTGAGAGTTATCATTCTGGTCTTTTTTTTTTTAAGTGCTAGCCCCATTATAAATACTTTGTAAAGGAGAATTCCTTTTGCATTCACAATCCTAAGAGTTAAAAATTATTAAATGGACAAGCCCACTTGAAATGATGTGACCATAGTAACAATGAAGAATTTATGAAGCACAGCCTCTTACCACTGTGCCATTTCTGATGACAATTATGAAAATAAAAAGTATTATATTGTTAAAAGTATGGGTATGGGAGGAACGTATTGTTCGTTTTATCTACAATGTGATCTACTGGAATTTATGCAGTCTTTAGTTTTCATCTTAGAACTGAAAAGAACTGGTTTTTAAAGTGGAATGGAGGGAACCCTGAGTATTAATAACAAATACTGATGTAGTAAATGGAGGGACGTTGAATATAATCAGAGGAGGGTTTTAGATTTTAGGACAGCAGGCTTCAAATGTTAAACATAAATAAGAAAAGATGATTCAGTAACTAGAGACCTTAACATAGAAGATGGCTCAAGAAGTTTGAGATTTGGGCAAAAGACATCAACAACGTCAGTGACTATCCCCTGAGCTAATCTTCAAGTGTCCTGTCCCTTATGATCAAAGCCATCCCTGTACTTGGCAAAGAAATCAGTAGAAAGTTTATGTGAGAACGTAACTGCAATTTAGAATTATTATGCAGTGTTGAACGCCGGCTCAACATCAGAATAACCTGCATTAAACAGTTTTCATTAGTGTTCCCTGCTTCACGAAGGTGAAAACATCTGTCACAGTTCATGTCCCATTCTCCATCACACAGCTTCGTGACCCAGGCAGTCCCTGCAAAGGAGTTCAGGATTTGAATAGAAATGAATTCTACAACATACTAATTGAATCGGGAAGAGGTAAATGAGCAACTCCTATCACTCATTCCCTGAGTGACTGTCCAATCTTAACTCTCAGACAAACACATGCTAGTTATAGATATAATATGCACATATATTATTATTTTAACAATTCCTTTACTTTTAATAGTAAAATATTGATCATCTGCAAAAAATGTGTTGCTTTCTTTATCCCATTTTCTCTGTGAGTGTAAGTATGCTGTTTAAACTGTGATTTTAAAACTCTAAATTGTTTTTGACATTGGAGTTGACTGGTTGGCTTCAGAATAAAATGATGAGGGGAAAAAAGTGTACAGCATCAGCATAATGCGTCAAGAAACTGCAAGATAGCTGTTAAGTTTATAGGCTTAAAGGTTATTTATTTTCTTGCCCCAATCCACATTAAAGCCACATCAGCAGTTGAGATCTGATGTCGGGATACTTGCATAGATAAGCCCAATGTGGTCTTTTTTTTTTTTTTTTTTTTTTTTAATGAGTTGGAGTCTCACTGTCGCCCAGATTGGAGTGCAGTGGCCGCTCCCGGCCACCGCAGCCTCGACCTGCTGGGCTCTGGCGATCCTTCCGCCTCAGCCTTCCAAGTAGCTGGAACTACAGGGGCACGCTACCATGCCCGGCTAATTTTATTGTAGAGAAGAGGTTTCGCTTGCCCAGGCGGGTCTCGTACCCGCGGTCTCAGGCAATCCACCCACCTCAGCCTTCCAAAGGTACAGGATTACAGCCTGAGCCACCGAGCCCGGCCCCAATGTGGTCTTAATTACAACAACGAGATATCAATTTTGAAAGTATGGTCTAGAGTAATCAGTCACTGCAGCATCATCATGGTGTTGGGGAATAATTTTGTGGTAGAAAAATTAACAGATATAATATTAAATGTACCTATTATTTATGAAAATGTATAATTCCAGAAATCTGGAACTATTTCCACGGTACTGAGGAAATTATATGAACCCATGGGTTTGAGACCAACCTGGGCAACTTGGCAAAACCTCATCTCTACAATAAATACAAAAATTAGCCGGGCGTGGTGGTGCATGCCTGTATTTCCAGTTACTTGGAAGGCTGAGGCAGAAGGATTGTCTGAGCCCAGCAGGTTAAGGCTGCAATGGCCGTGAACGTGCCACTGTACTCTAGCCTGGGTGGCAGTGTGAGACTCTGACTCAAAAAAAAAAAAAAAAAGTGACCTTTGGAAAAATTAGTAATAAGTGTACTTTAAAAGATCTTCTTACATGTACAATATGTTTCATACTTGACCACTATTTAGATTTTCTATCATTCCATCAAAGGAAAGGATTTTATAAGACCTTGATGAAATTCTGCCATAGAAAGAAATTTCCATGCTCATATAAAGATACTATTATATAAAACTACTCTTTTAGAAATAAAAAATTGACTTTTCCTCCCACATCAAATTCATAATGAGCTTTTTTAGGCTACCTTTGAACAGAGCGATGGTGTTTTTGGTTGTCCTTACACAATTTAGATGATAATTTTTTAAAAAAAGAACCTTGTCCAAAACAATAACTGAATACATTTGCAATGTTTATGTGAGATGCTTCACAGGATACCTAGAGGAGTTAGAAATGGCTTCTGTCACTTTAAAGGATCTTGTAACACAGTGGAGATAAGACAAGCAAGCAAAACAAATGAATATAAATCTAGGCAGAATGTAATGATTATGTCACGAGAAGTATTTAGTATAATTAGGATTCAAAGGACTAAAATTCCATTTCTTTTGGGGGACTGAAAAATACCTCAGACAGAAGGAATCATTGAGATGAGTTTTGAAGAAGTAGAATTTCAACAAGTAGAATTCTGGAAAGAAAGAGAAGGAAGGGAGAATTTTAACTAAGTAGAGGAAAAATTAAATAAAAGCAAAGGAATGCCAGCAGGCTGACCTTGAGAATTAGCAATATTAATGAGTCAATTGGAGTGTAGAGTTCATAGGAAATGAAGTGTCAATAGGATAAGGAAGTGGACTGGTGTCGTGTTATGAAAAGGCTACCAGCAGGAAGAGTACTATTGTCAAAGTACTATGAATTATAGTTTCAGATGTTTCCAACTTTGTCTACTGTTGCAGCCCAAATCCCTTTAATAACAGATCATCGCTTGGTGCAAAGCATGTTGTAAGAGCATGCTTTGGGGACACTGAATTGGAACAGCATTAGCTACAGGGAACCTCAGGAGATTCTGTGCAGCACAACCCTATCCTCTTGGCTTTTCTTGAAGAAAGAGGAAGACTTCCCACTGGGGATTCTGCATAAATCCTGTGTGCCAGTCATGTGGGGATGGATTAAAGCAGAACTCCCTTGTCACGGTCAATGGTGGGAGGATGGGAGTGATAGTATTTACTTACAAACAATAGGTGTGTGTGTGAGTATGGGTGTGTGTATGTATACACATACATATAATGATTTCCAGGTTCTTCAAATTCCTCTAGGAAATATGGGTGATGCTGACTCTTAGAATTAAAATCATTTAGCTGTAAAAACTGAACAAGTTAAAATAGAAATAGTCCCCCCTCAATGTTTTGCATTGTAAAATATGACTTTTGAAGACTGCTAATTTGAGAAAAAATTGGCATAATGTATTTCAGTCTGCATTTATTCTTTGCATGTATTAAACGAATATAAAGGCACATTAATATTTGGTTGATGAAGTTCTATCAGGTCATTTTAAACTTTGCAAAAATT